TAGTGATACTGCCTCAGAAACCCAAGAAGGGGTTGCTATGAGTCGGATCCAACTTGACGACAGTGCGTTTGGTTTGGTTTGGAACCAGAAGGCTGGTGGTTATTTATATTTAAAATATTAATACTAGTAATTAATACTTGTTAGATTTAGTATCTATTATATGCAAGGCTATGTTATAAGATCTTTACATATTTTAATTTATTTAATAAACCCTGTATTCAGAATTTCTTATTAGCTCTAATTCTTTTATTAGAAGTTAGTTTGACTATATTTAAGTACAAATAATAAAAATTTCTTTCATGGCATCTAACAATATTGATTCTGTATGATGTTTCAACTGATGGTCACTTTATTTAATACTGAAACATTAATATTTAATAGAATCAGCAGTAAATTCTTAGTGATTTTTTTTTTCCCCCACTCATTAGAGTACTGGCTGCTGTCAAAGTAAAGAAAATGGAGTTTGCTGTTTGGATCAAGAAATAAATGAATTACCTGAATTTGAGGAAGGGAGAAAGGTCAGTGAAATGTGAGCTTTTTATAAGGTTCTCTCAGGACACCAACTGACTCTTAGGAAGAATAAGTGGTTGTGCAAGTTCACTAATTTGAGGCAAGTCAACATTCTTCCATTCTCACTCAAAATCATCATCATCATCATCATCATCATCATCATCATCATCTATCCTAGCAACTTGTCCTTCATTACAGATATTACTCCTATTCAAATAGTCATCTATGGGAGAGAAAGTATGCTGATCTCTTATGCCTTAATTTTAAAAAGGTTTTGTCCAGTCCTTTTTAAAGGACCAGAAGTAAAGTGGAGGGAGATGGAAGGGCAGGCAAAGTATAGTTATTGTTTTTGTTGTTAGGTGCCGTTGAGTCAGCTCCGACTCATAGTGAGTGACCCTGTGTACATCAGAATGAAACACTGCCCAGTCCTGTGCCAACCTCACAATCCTTGCTATACTTGAGCCCATTGTTGCAGCCACCATGTCAGTCCATCTGGTTGACGGCCTTCCCCTTTTTCATTGACCCTCCACTTTTCCAAGCATGATCCTTCTCCAGGGAATGGTCCCTTCTGACAATATGACCAAAGTAAGTGAGATGAAGTCTGGCCATCCTCACTTCCAAGGAACATTCTGGCTGCACTTCTTCCAGGACAGATTTGTTGGCTCTATTGGCAGTCCATGGTACTTTTAGGATTCTCCACCAACATCACAATTCAAGAGCATCAACTCTTCTGTCTTCCTTGTTCATTGTCCAGTTCTCACATACATATGAGGCGATTGGAATGACCATGGCTTGGGTTAGGCGCACCTTAATCTTCAAGGAGACATCTTTGCTTTTCAGCACTTGAAAGAGGTCTTTTGCAGCAGATTTGCCCAATGCAATACATCCTCTGATGTCTTGACTGCTGCTTCCATTGGTGTTGATTATGGAACAAAGTAACATGAAATCTTTAACAACTTCATTCTTTTCTCCGTTTATTGTGATACTGCTTATTGGTCCAGTTGTAAGGATTTTCGTTTTCTTTATGTTGAGATGTAAGCCATACTGCAGACTGAAGTCTTTAATCTTCATCAGTAAGTACTTTGAGTCTATCCTCACTTTCAGCAAGCAAAATTGTGTCATCTGCATATCCCAAGTTGTTAATGAGGCTTCCTCCAATCCTGATGCCACATTCTTCTTCTATAGTCCAGCTTCTCAGATTAATGTGGTCAGCATACAGATTGAATAAGTATGGTGAAAGGATGCAGCCCTGACACACTCCCTTCCTGATTTAAAACCATTTCATTATTATAATTGACTTTGTCTTCTCAAGCTGCTCTTTGAAATCTTCTGTTCAGTGCTTTTATCTTGTCATATCTTCCTTATACTTTAGCAACTCTCAGTTCAAAGGCAAGTTTCAGAGTCTCTTCTGACATCCATTTTGGTCTTTTCTTCCTTTTCTGTGCTTTCTTCAGAGATGCTGTTCTTGATGCCATCCCACAATTCCTCTGGTTTTTGTCATTGGTATTCAATACATCAAATCTATTCTTTAGATGGTCTCTAAATTCAGGAGGGATATAATCAAGGTCATATTTTGGCTCTCGTGGACTTGTTTTAATTGTCTTCAGCTTCAATTTGAACTTGCACATAAGCAACTGATGGTCTGTTCCACAGTCAGCTCCTGGCCTTGTATTGGCTGAAGATAATGAACTGTTCCATCGCCTCTTTCCACAGACATAGTCGATCTGATTCCTGTGTACTCCATCTGGCAAAGTCCACGTGTATAACTGCCATTTGTGTTGTTGAAAAAAAAGGTATTTGCAATGAATAAGTTTTTGGTCTTGCAAAATTCTATCATGCAATATCTAGCATTATTTCTATCACCAAGGCCACATTTTCCAACTACCAGTGATTCTTCTTTGTTTTTTTAACTTTTGCAACCCAATCACCAGTGAAAATCAACACACCTTGCTTATATTTTTAGTCAATTTCAGACTACAGAAGTTGGGAAAAATCTTCAATTTCCTTATCTTTGGCTTTGGTGGTTGGTGTATAAATTTGAATAATAGTAGTATTAATTGGTCTTCCTTTTAGGTGTATGGATATTATCCTATCACTGACAGAATTGTACTTCAGGATAGGTGTTGAAACAGTCTTTGGGATGATGAATGCCATGCCATTCCTTTTCAATTTGTCATTCCTAGTATAATAGATCATATGGTTGTCTGATTCAAAATGGCCAAAACCAGTCCATTTCAGCTTATTAATGCTGATACTAACCTTTTGCATTCCATTTCATTTTTGACAACTTCCAGTTTTCCTAGATTCATACTTTGTACATTCTATATTCTGATTATTAATGGATGTTTGCAGCTATTTCTTCCCATTTTGAGTTGTGCCACATCAGCAACTGGAGAACCCAAAAGCTTTACTCCATCTACATGATTAAGGTTGGCTCTACTCTGAGGAGGCAGCTCTTCCCTGGTTGTATTTTGAGTGCCTTATGACCTGAGGGGCTCATCTTCTGCACTATATCAGACATTGTTTCAGGGCTATTCAAAGTTTTCATTACTATATCAGACAGTGTTTCACTGCTATTCATAAGGTTTTCACTGGTCAATTCTTTGAGAAGTGGATGGCCCCTTCCTTCTTCCAAGTCTATCTTAGTCTGGAAGCTCCACTGAAACCTGCCCACTATGGGTGACCCTGCTGGTGTTTGAAATATTGGTTGTATAGGCTCCAGCATCACAGCAACACACAAGCCACCAAAGTATGACAAACTGACAGACGAGTGGTGGAAGTATAATTATAGGAGAATGGAAATTCCAGAAAATCTTCTCAGCTGTGTTGGGTAATGCTGCCTGCCAGCCTCCTCTGACATCCCCAGACTCCAAAGAAATGTGTAGAGTTATATAGGCTTTGGAGGCCCATTGGCATCTGCGCTGAGCTGCTCATGACCAGATCTGTGTTAGAGCCCTTGACGTAGAGCTCAGGGATGTGGTTGGACAGCTGGGTGGTTTGTCTGTTATTTGTTTATCTATCTGCTTCTGATACTTTCTTTTTTAAGGCAAGTCAAACACTCTTCTCAGAAGAGGAGTTCCTGCCATTGGACCCAACCCAGGAATTGATATTTCCTCCTGAGCTAATGGTAAGTGATGCACCTTTGGGCTTGCCCTAGAGGAATCCATGGTGAAACACCAAGAAGGGTGTTGCTTGTGGATCCTCTCAAAAGCTGATTGGAGAATAGATAATATCCATCTGTCTCCTTAGTCCAGGGTCTAAAGAGTATGAGCCTGAGGCAGAGGTGGAGGGATGAGGGTGCAGTCACCACTCACCAGGAGGGGACAGTTGAGTTGACTGTAAAAAGCAACAGAAAAAGCAATAAAAAAGTCATGAAGTGACATCGCAGCATTTGCAGATGTAGATATGTTTTGTCCGGCTTTGCTGAAGCTTATTCTTCCATAGAATGATATGGCCAATAAGTGAAAATAAGTGAATTCATCTGAAATGTAATAATTCCAAGGGGAGATTGATTGGGAGAGTCCCCAGAGGAAATATTTATTTGTGTTATACTCTTACCCTGTGCTCTGACTTCTAGTAAAGTTCAACTTTAGGGTGTTTTTTTTTTTTTTTTTTTTAAAGTACTGTATTTTCTTTCTCTGTTTCTATAATAGGAGCCCTTGTGGCATAATGGTTGAACACTGGACTGCTAACCAAAAGGCTGGTAGTTCATACCCACCAGCTACTCCATAGGAGAAAAGTCCTGGCAATCTGCTCCCACAAAGACACCCCATGGGGCAGTTCTGCTCTGTCTTATAGGGTCACTAGGAGTTGGAGTGGACTCAACAACACACAACAACAACAACAATAACTTATACAATAACAGAGTAGAACAGCTGAAAATGTCACACCATGATCTTGAATCCCTATTCCTTTTTCAATAGATGATAGCTGAGAAACAACCACAAAGGACCAGGGTTTTTGGTGGAGAGAGAATGACATGGATCTCCCCAGTGACCCTGAAGGAACTTCTGGAAGCTAAAGTCAAGTATCCTCAGGCTCCCGTTGTGATGGGGAACACCTCTGTGGGTATGTAGGATCCCAGAGCATTTTATGGGGAAACCGAAGGAAGGGATTGGATTGGGGGGAAACACCTCACATATCGGATGCTTTCAGGAAAAGCAGCCTGAAATAGCATTTAATCCATTAGACACTTTCTAGGTCATTCAGATAACTCAATCCGTATTGTCCTGCACTGGAGCAGTGCTCAGACAGGCGCCCAAGAGGGCTGCTCCACGACAAATCCACAGCAGCAGTTACAATGAAGGCTCCCCGTCTTTTCATTTGGGGCTTGATCTTAGACTTGTATTTGATACTGCTCTTTGTTTCTTTTCTGTGTCATCTCAGGAGGTATTAGAAGTTTTTCTTAAACTGTAGGTACAGGGTCTGCCTGTTAGACTCAGTGTAGGCTCGGTTTGACTGCCTACCTCTTTGAGGAGCCCCGTAGATATTCCAAAAGAGAATTTTGTCTATCCCACATGGCCCAAGTGTTAAGGCTGGCAATGCCAAAAAGTCTCCCAAGCTCAATGAAAATCCATCCAGCCATTCCATCTGTCTGTCTCTGTCTCTCTGTATATGATTTGGCAATAAACAGACTGTTGGAAAGGTACATAAATGTTATATATTTAAAGACACCACTTGAACCACAACTTCAAAATTAAAAAGGCAGTAAGGTAAGAGAATGAAAAGACAAGCCACATACTGAGAGAAAATATTTACAAACCACATGTCTGATAAAGAATTTGCATCCAAGATATATAATGAACTCTTAAAACTCAACAATAACAATCCAATTTAAAAGTGAGCAAAAGATCTGAACAGATGTCTCACCAAAAAAGATATTCAGATGTCAAATAATTATAAAAAATGCCCAACATCATATTTCATTAGGGAATTACAAGTTAAAACAATAATGAGTTACCACTAGACACCTATTATTAAATGGCTAAAGTCCAGAACTCGGATAACACCAAATGCTGACAAAGATGTGGAACAACAAGAACTCTCATTCACTGCTGATAAGAATGCAAAATAGTACAGCTACATTGGAAGATAGTCTGGCAATATCTTACAAAGCTAACAAAGGCTTACCATACAATCCAGCAATTTTATTCCTAGGTATTTACCCACATAAGTTGAAAACTTAATGTCCACACAAAAACCCGCATGCAAATGTTTATAGAAACTCTATTCTTATTTGCCAAAAATGAGAAGTAACCAAGATGATTTTTGGTAGGTTAATGAATAAGCACACTGTGGTACATCCATACAATGGAGTATTATTCAATGATGAAAAGAGTGCGCTATTAAGCTACAAAAAGACCTAGAGGAACTTTAAATGCTTACTGCTAAGTGAAAGAAGCCAGTCTGAAAATGCGACATGTAGTCTAATTCCAGCTATATGACATTCTGGAAAAGGCAGAAGAGAGAGTAAATTAAAAAAATAAAAAGTGCTTTCCAGGAATACAGGGAGGTAAGGAAGGGATGAATAAATGAAGTACAGGACATTTTAAGGGCAATGAAACTATTTTGCATGATATCGTAGTGGTAGACACACGATACTATGCATTTGTCAAAACCCATAAGACCAGACACCACAGAGTGAACTGTAATGCAAACTAGGAGCTTTAGTTAATAGTAATAGTATCCATGTTAATTCTTCAGTTGTAACAAGTGTCCTGCATTAACCACAATATTAATTGTAGGAGAAACAGTATACAGAGGAAGAGGGAGAATATGGGAACTCTATTTCCTGTACAATTTTTTCTGTAAACCTAAAAACACTCTAAAAAATAAAGTGTATTGCTTTTCTTAAAAAGTCAGTAAGTGCCCATTTATCCCAGCCTTCTTTTTTTTTTTTCCTAATCCTTTAGGACCTGAAGTGAAATTTAAAGGCATCTTTCACCCAATTATTATTTCTCCTGATGGAATTGAAGAACTGAGTGTTATGAAACATACATATAATGGTGAGTTCTTAAGGTCATTGTTTTGTTAGCTAAAATGCACCGATCAATTTATTTCCCTGACTCAGCTGACAAGTAGAAAAGGAATAATTCCTAATTATAATATACAGAGAGATTCTCTTCTTGTATGAATGATAACATTGTGGAAGGAGGTTTGAGGGAGAATTCTCTATCATCATGCTAGATACAAATTGTCGGATTTTTGCTGAAGAATGCTTTGTGACTATAATTTCAGAGAAATGTATCAGTTACTAAAGGAAGGGGACTGTGCTAGATGCTAGATAGAAGATAAAGATGAATAGAATATATTCTTTGCTCTCAAAAAGCAATAGTAAGCAAAGCCAAGTTTATATAATAAGCAGCTTACAGACTGGCTTTTCCATTTGCAAGAGAAATGGATTTAATGACAATGAAAGGCAATTACATGTGGGTTTGGAGTGTAGGGTCTAGAGGCTAATTTTTTTTAAATTTATTTTGTGGCTGTTGAGACTGTACACAGCAAAACGCACACTAATTCAGCAGCTTCTACAGTTACTGTTTAGTGACATTGATTACATTCTTCGAGTTGTGCATCCATTCCCACCCACCTTTTCTGAGTTATTCTTCCCCTTTTAACATAAATGCACTGCCCCTTAAGGTTCCTATCTAATCCTTTCAGTTTCTGTTGTCAATCTGATCCCATGTAGATTAAAAAAGAAAAAACCCACTGCCGTGGAGTCAGATCCGACTCATAGCAACTCCTCCTTGGGTTTCCAAAGTGGTATCACTGTTGTTGTTACATGCCGTGGAGTCGGACCCAACTCATAGCAACCCCTCCTTGGGTTTCCAAGGCATTATCACTATGGAAGTAGATTGCCCAACCTTCCTTCTGAGGAGTGACTGGTGGGTTTGAACCTCCAGCCTTCTGGTTAGCAGTCAAATGCCTTAGGCACTACGCCAACAGAGCTCCTGTCCCATGTAGATAGTAGCATCTAATTCTTGACTATGCCATAAAATAACCAAAAACCCACTGCTGTGAAGTCAATTCCAACTCATAGTGACCCTATAAGACAGAGTAGAGCTACCCCATAGCATTTCCAAGACTGTAATCTTTACAGAAGCAGAGTACCACATCTTTCTCCCAACCTTTCAGTTAATAATACAGCGCTTAACCACTGCGCCAACAGGGCTCCTTTGCCATAAAATGGCTGTACAAAATTAGGCAAGTTACTTAACTAGATCTCAGTTTGTTCATCTGTGAAGTAGGACTATTAATACCTTATAGGTTAGTGAGGATTCAAGGAGATTCTATAAAGCATTTGGCATAATGCTTGGCACAGTGAGTGTTGATGGAACTTAACCTCCATCACCTCTATCACCTCCACCACCATCGTCAGCACCGATAAGCAGGACAATGTGATATCCAGTGTAAAGATTCTATCTTTGCAATTCTGATCTAACTGACATTTCCAGGTCAGTAGTGATTGCACTGTGTTACTTCCACATCCTTTCAGGGCTGACCTTAGGTGCCGGCCTCAGTCTGGCTCAGGTGAAGGACATCCTGGCTGATGTGATACAGAAGGTTCCAAAGGAGAAGACACAGCTGTATCAGGCTCTCTTGAAGCATTTGGAAACTCTGGCTGGGTCACAGATCAGAAACATGGCTGTATGTATTTGGTGACATTAAACTCTCTGGTGGGTGTCCCTTGGGTGACTGCTCCTGGTGAATCACAACATTGTCATTCTTTTGGAATGGACAAAAAGAATAGTGTCCCAGAGCCTTGCTTCATACTTATGCCAGCACTTTTGGTAATTGCCCTGTTGTTATTGTTGTTAGGTGCCCTTGAGTCAATTTCTGACCCATGGTGATCCCATGTGACAGAGTAGAGCTGCCCCATAGGGTTTCCTGGGCTTGGGAGCTCTGGTAGCATAGTGGCTAAGGCACTTGACTGCTAACCAGAAGGCTGGCGGTTCAAACCCACCAGCCACTCCTCGGAAGGAAGGTTGGGCAATCCTACTTCCGTAGTGATACTGCCTCGGAAACCCAAGGAGGGGTCGCTATGAGTCGGGGCCGACTCGACGGCATATAACAACAACAACAACAACAAATCTTTACAGAAGCAGATTGTCAGGCATTTTCTCCCGTGGAGCCACTCATGGCTTTGAACTGCTGACCTTTTGGTTAGCAGCTGAGTGCTTAACCGTCCCACTGCCTAGACTCCTTGGTAATTACATGACTGGAGTAAAAATGACTCATTATTTTAAAAAAGTCTTTAGGAGGCCACATCATGAGCAGACATCTAGATTCAGATCTGAATCCCCTCTTGGCTGTGGGCAATTGTACCCTCAACGTACTGTCAGAAGGTAAGTGACAGCTCCTGTTTGGGCATTACTGAGCCTGGTCTTCCTTTTTATGCCTGCTATTCCCTTTTTCTAATTTTGAAAATGACTTTTCCCTGAATACTAGTAGTTCTCTCTGCCTCTCTGGATGCTGGCAGAGTTGGTCAGTCTGGTCTTAATTAACACTCCTAATCTGCAATCTGGTCTTAATACTCCTCTCCTCATCTCTTCATGTCTTTCCTTTGGTCGCTTTGTGTTAGATATTTTCCTATGCTGGTCATCATACATTGAACGTGCTTGTGTTGGTTAATGTCCAGTTGCAACCTAATTAGTGGAGAGAACATTGAGCCCTTTTGTTCAAGACAGTGTTCCAACACCCACTTTTACTGTAGGCTCGTGCTTAATTTATGATTCTTTGAAGCCCTTAGGTATATATGTGTGTGAGTGTGTGTTAAGTGCCATCAGGTTGTGTATACACACACACACACACACACAGATGGTAAATAAGCATATAAAAAGATGTTCAACCTCATATTTCATTAGAAAATTATAAATTAAAGCAATAATGGTTGAACAATGGCCAAATTTCATTCTGTATTTATTTACTTGACTTTATTATTATTTTCTTGAAACTAAGTTCAGGACTTGTAATTTCTCTCTCTCATTCTAACTTGTTCAGCAATTATTCACAAAAACCAAACCCACTGCTATCAAGTGATTCTGAGTCATAGTGACCCTGCAGGGCAGAGTAGAACTGCCCCAATAGGGTTTTCAAGGTTATAGATCTTTACAAAAGCAGACTACCTCATCTTTCTCCAATGGAGCAGCTGGTAGGTTCGAACCACCAGCCTTTTAATTAGCAGCCAAATGTCTTAACAACAGTGCCACTAGAGCACCTTCAGCAATTTTTGGAAGTTCTAGTTACTCTTTCTTCATTTTTTTGTTCCATTTAAAAATATGGACTAATTTTCTATGACCTGCATTATTAAATACCCACTCCTCACATTATCTAAATCACAACCTTTTCTTAGGGAGGAAGATTTGCATTCAGAGTTTTTAATTTAAGTAATATCCTTTAATAATTCGTACTCTGAGAAACAGGTTTTATGATGTGACTATAAACATTAAAAGGTTTTTAACTTTCATCCCAAATTATGTTTTGTTATAGCTTTAAACGGTTCCTCTCCCAAAATATTGATTAAAGAACCAATGTTTTTTAGGTGTTAGAAAGAAGTTTAATTAAATAAGACAGTGCTTTACTAGTACACAAATCGTTAAAGGTGATTTTTTTATTTTACTTGCTTTTGTGCCCCTGGTAAGTAGAAGTGTCCCTGGCTATAAACAATAAATGTTTGTTGAATGGCTTTATCAGTGTATCACTAGATATGTTAGTATCTACTCTAATTATAAAGCTCAAAGTGAACTGTGCTGTTTAGGGATTGCTAAGGTCCTGTTATACCTGAAACTCCAGACTACTTTGCTAGATATTTTTATTCATAAGCCAGCAAAGGAAACGAAAACAAACAAATAGGGCCTAGACTGGAAAAAACATTGGGAGATGCCATTATAGGGTATTTCTCCCATCTAATCAGTTTCCTCTGGTATTTGGTAGAATTATTTCTTAGGTTTTGGGACTTTGATTTTTTAATAAAAAAAATAGATTTCAGGGAAAGCATTATTTCTTCCTGCAGAAGGAGAACGGCAGATTCCTTTAAATGAGCAATTTCTCAGAAAGTGCTCCAATGCGGATCTTAACCCTGAAGAAATCTTGGTCTCAGTGAACATCCCTTACTCCAGGAAGGTGAGAATTATCCTTCTTTCAATTTCCTGTTTTTGTCTGGGCGGCTCCAGCTTGTTTAGTCTAACACATAGTGAATTAAGAAAGACTGTTAAGTGTTTACAGAGAGGATAAAAGCCCAGGAAGTGGTGGTTGTTGTGTTGTTGTTGTTACGTGCCATCAAGTTGGTTCTGACTCACAGTGACCCTGTGTATAACAGAGTGAAACACTGCCCAGTCCTGTGCCATTCCCACAGTCTTCGCCATGTTTGAGCTCATTGTTGTACCCACCATGTCAATCCATCTCATTGACAGTCTTCTTCTTCACTGACTCTCCACTTGACTAAGCACAGTCCTTCTCCAGGTCTCTCCTGGTGACATGTCCAAAGTGTGTGAGATTGAGTCTTGCCATCCTTGCTTCCAAGGACCATTTGGCTATACTTCTTCCAGGACAGATTTGTTTGTTCTTCTGGCAGTCCTTGGTATATTCACTGTTCTTCAGCCATACCACAATTCAAATGTATCAGTTCTTCTTCGCTGTCCTTTATTCATTGTCCAGCTTTTACGTGCATATGAGGTGATTGAAAACACCATGGCTTGAGTACACAACATGACATCTTTGCTTTGAAACACTTTAAAGAGGTCTTTTGCAGCAGATTTTCACAAGGCAATACATTATTTCATTTCTTAACTGCTGCTTCCATGAGCATTGATTATGGATCCAAGTAAAATAAAATGTTTGACAACTTCAATATTTTCTCCATTTATCATAATGTGCTTATCAGACCTGTAGTGAGGATTTATGTTCTTTTCAGGAAATGGTACAAGGTCATTATTTTAAAAGGAATTATGAATAGTTTTACCTTTGACTTGTATCATGCCTCCCCTATTATTTCTAGAATCAAGAGATGATCTCTGCCGTTCTCTCTCTTTCTCTCTCTCTCTCTTTCTCTCTGTCTCTGTGCATCTCACTTTAAGTTACTGTCTAAGGCTTTTTTTTCAAATTTCTTATCTCATAAATCCTTTCCCTAAATAAGACTTGAAAACTGTGTTTCTGCCTATATCCTGGGATTTGAAAGGAAGCTGAAAAAATACAAACAAAAAACCATTTGTAATAGAATCGAGTGGACAAAACAGGGGATTTGGAGGCAGACAGGTGCAACTTTGAATCCCAGTTTCAAGATCTACTCTGACTTTGAACTACAGATGGACTCACTGTGAGACAGGTTCCTCGTCTGTACAATGGGATTGATCAGGCCTACCATGGATGATGTGGGGAGCCTCAGATGAGGTCATACGTGTAAGCTGCCTAGTGCGTGTTTGGTACCAAGTGTGTTTTTACATGCAGCACCTAATTTTTGCTTTCAGTGGGAATTCATATCTGCCTTCCGACAAGCTCAGCGGCAACAGAATGCACTAGCGATAGTCAATTCGGGGATGAGAGTCTTTTTTGGAGACAGGGATGGCATCATTAGAGAATTATCCATCTCCTATGGAGGCGTTGGTCCAACCACCATCTGTGCAAAGAATTCCTGTCAGAAACTCATTGGAAGGTATGGCATCATGTCCTTAGACACCAAATAATGGAGCAGCTCATTCTGTGGTGAGATGTAACTACAAGCAGAAAAACACTTAGTTGCTTTCTATTTAATGGCATGGATTTCCAAAAAGATTTCATGATTATGTATGATTATATTTCCATATGTCTTGATTTTGCTGAATTCCAAAGCAGACATTGTATATGTGTGTGTGTGTGTGTGTGCACAACAAAGAAAAAACAACTCTCTTTCAATAGTACACACTAAAAATTGTATTCTTTATTGTGGGAGAATCATAATTTTCCATAATGAAAAGCAGATTATGTGAATCATTCCATAATAAATTGCTAAATACATTAGCTTAACTCGTGTGTTATACCTATAGGTAATACCAGTAGCTAATATTCCTTGAGCATTGACTAGAGCATTCCAGAGAAGTAACATCGAGTAGTGGTATAAACTTGAGTCAGAGTGTACACTTGAGCCACACTGCCTGGGCCTTAATCTCAACTTGACCTCAGTCAGCTTATGGTACCTTGATTTCCTCATCTGTGAAAGGGGGGTAATTATACCTACTTCATAGGGCAGTTGAGAGGATTGAATGAATGAATAATAAAAGGTGTTTAAAACAGAGCCTGGTATGCAGTAAATGGTCTGGTGATAGAAGGCCAGTTTCTACGGGCCGAGGACTTTACATGGTTGTCATTTCTTTCTCATGACAACTCAGTGAGGTAGGTTCAACTCTTACTCCCCTCTTACTGATGACAGTGATGAGGCCTTGAGTCCTGATTTAAACTCAGGATGCCTGGCTCTACAGCTCGTACTCCTATTTCCTGCATTAAACTACTTATTTGCCTTATGAAGGAGCCCTGGTGGCACAGTGCTCAGCTGCTGACTGAAAGGTTGGTGGTTTGAACCCACCAGCCATTCCAGGGGAGAAAAATATGGCAGTCTGCTCCTATAAAGATTTACAGCTTTGGGAACCCTGTGGGGGCGGTTCTACTCTGTCCTATGGTCACTATGAGTCAGAATCAACTCAACAGCAATGGGGATTTTTGCCTTACACATTAGCTGGACCTGTGTGGAGTGATGAACTCTGTGAGACTAGGAGGCTTCTCTGTTGATTCTCACAGGCCCTGGAATGAAGAGATGCTGGGTGCAGCTTGCCGGCTGATTCTGGACGAAGTCTCCCTCCCAGGCTCGGCGCAGGGTGGGAAGGTGGAATTCAAGCGGACTCTTATTATCAGCTTCCTCTTCAAGTTTTACCTGGAAGTGTCACAGATTTTGAAGAGAATGGTAAATGGAACTGACCATGTATTAGCTTTTCCAGCACTCGGAGCTATGGTGATCCCCAAAGTATAGACAACATCCCCTGCTAGATGTCTATAGAACATAAAGTACAAGAGACAAAGAAAAACTTGTGGGCTAGTTGTTCATATATCAGACTGTCTGTTGATGGGGTGAGTGTTCAAAGAAGAATTGCAAGGAGAGCTCAGAGTTTTATGGATTTTAACACCACTCTGTTAGTTTGTTAACAAGAAAACTTGTTAATGACTCAAAAGTATTTTTCCTCAGTAAAGCACCGTTGTTGAGGGGTTAGCTTCATGCTTTTGACTTTCTTCTCTAGATTCAGCTTCATTTCTCTCACCTATAAGATGATGGCAGCCACGCCACAAGGTTACCGCGAAATGAACTCTTGTATAAAGAGGCTTAATATGGTTCCTAGCACTTCAGAGAGATAGAATGAAGACTGTTTAGTAGTATTCTTAACAATAGTAGTAATAGTCCAGGCATTATCTTGCCTAGTCTCCCTTATGACAAAAACCAAACGCACTGCCGTTGAGTCAGTTGTACACATAGCGACCCCTCCTTGGGTTTCCGAGGCGGTATCTCTATGGAAATAGATTGCCCAACCTTCTTTCCGAGGAGTGGCTGGTAGGTATGAACCACCAGCCTTCTGCTTAGCAGTCAATTGCGTTTGGCACTACGCCACCAGAGCTCCTCCCTTATGGCAAGCAAGTAGAATTACCAGATTGTTGGCTAGGAAGGTATGTGACTAACAGCATTTCTCTGAATAATTTTCCTTAGGGAAATTGAACCATATTGGCCTCATTAACCCCATGCTGCAACCAGCTGACTAAACTAGACTGGAGTCCAAGAACACTCATCATGTGGTATAGAAATTAGTATGATCACTTTAAATAAGGGACACAAAGTTCTTTCTTATCACTGCTCTTGAGGGTATTTTCTTACTACAGAGGAGAGCAACTAAGAACCAAAGGGTTGTATCAAGTTTGAGAATGGAAGCTTGAAAATGTGTACCAGTCCACTTGCCACCAGGTAATCAAAAGAGAAAAAGAAAAGCCAGTTACAAGTTTCCCAATTAGTAGCAAGTTAATACAATTTCTAGGTAAATTAAGTGATAGTTTATACCTTCGATTCAACGTCCTGTCTTTTAAAATAATAGCCTTTGTTGACCTTAATTTTCTCTTAATTGTTTTTTTAAATCATAAGAAATGATCATTAGGTTTTTCATTCAAAATCTTACATAAAGACCAAAGCCATTTCCTTCAGGCCTCAGAAGTGTTCTTTCTGGAGACCTGGAATGCTTCCTCGTGTGACGCAGGGTCAGGCAGGCAGCCACAGCATTTCCTTTCTACTGGTTGACCAGGTGGTACAGAGTTGTATGCACCTTGCAGTGGTGTCCTTTTGCTCTGATATTTTCTTGGTTTAATTATTCACTTCCTGTTCTTTTTATTTACTTAGCTTCCATCTTCCTGTATTAATGGTTTGTAAGTCTTAAATAATTTAGGAAAGTATGTGAGAGAATCATGAGAAACATGGAGCTGTTGGAAGTCAGTGATAAACTGTTTTCATTTGGCTCTTCACAATAGAGGTTGTATTATGTACCCTTCAGAGTGTATGTCCTTGAGACCAGGGAGCTGCTTATATCTCCAGAGTGCTGAATATCGCAGGTACTTCATAATGTTCAACTTCAGAGCAGAGATGCTTACTAGGAATCGTGTTAACCTCCCTTCCAAAGTCATCCCACCACCTTTTAAGTATTTACAACTGTTCTGCTTTTCAGGATCCTGTTCATTATCCTAGCCTTCAAGACAAGTATGAAAGTGCTTTAGAAGATCTCCATTCCAGACATCACTGGAGTTTATTCAAGTTCCAGGTTAGTGACCTTTTTAAAAAAATTCAAGGGCCTGGGCTGTCAGTCAGTCCTTCATCTCAACAGTCTCACTTGTCTCTCAAGCTTTTTGGACCAAGCTTCCCTCGGGTGAATTCACAGCCACCATTAGTGTTCATTAAAATTTCCAAGTCATTGGAGAATTGTAACTAAAAACAAAGAAATACAGTGGGAATTTTAAAGAAAAGCGGTTTTGATCTTGAAGGTTTTGTGTTTTGCACTGTGTCCTTTTGCCAGCACCATCTGCGAGCTGGCCAGCTTGCCACATGTTTCTGCTATTGGCATCGTGGAGTTGGAGCACAGCCAAGGCCACATTCCGCACCAGAGCCGGGGAGTCCCTATAGGGTGATGAGACTGTAGTGATGCTTTTTAAAAACTCAGGCTGCAAGTTTGTTTTGTTTGGATGTGGAGATATTTAGTCTCCCCCAAACCCTGTTATTCAAGTTATTTTTCTGTAAGGTAAATCTTACAGTTGAAACAAAATAAAAACCTAAGAACTATTTTTAAGCTCTCCTAATGAAGGCTTAGGAGCTCTGGTAGTGTAGTGCCTAAGGCACTTGACTGCTAACCAGGAGGCTGGCGTTCAAACCCACCAGCCACTCCTTGGAAGGAAGACGGGGCAATCTACTTCCGTAGTGATACTGCCTCGGAAACCCAAGGAGGGGTTGCTATGAGTTGGGTCCAACTTGACGGCACATAACAACAACAACAATAATGAAGGCTTAATATTAGAGAGAGCAGAGTTCCTCATAACTTACAAATGGAGTTTTCTTCCACAACATTGGAAAGATATCACCTAATGTCATCCTGCTGATAAACTGGATAAGGTTCGATGTGTTTTTCCTTGAGATCATTATATATATTTTTAAAAAACCACACACACACACACACACAACTTGATCTTGAGAGTTTTATCAACTTGAAAATATGAAGAGGGTTTTTCAAGCATCAGTACATTGCATTTATTGTTGGATTTTGTTATAAAAGTTTACAGTATGTTGTAATGAACATCAAAATTGGTGTATATACCTTGAGATTTGAAGTTCATTATGTTCAAAACTTGAAATATGTAAAACTCCATTGCAAGTCATAATTTTGAAAGTTAAAAACCACTTTCCTTTTCTTCTTTGTTGTCTAAAATATGGCAGCTGCAACCATCTGCTCATAAATACACAACCAAGTAACTATCGCCTTGACAATGAAAACTCTTCAGAAAGGAACAACAGTGGCAACAAATTGTTGGGCATGCAAATTATCACAGAGAAAATTGATAATCTAGTGCTTAATCTGGTAGCATAGTGGCTAAAGCACTTGACTGCTAACCAGAAGGCTGACGGTTCAAACCCACCAGCCACTCCTCGGAAGGAAGGTTGGGCAATCCTACTTCCGTAGTGATACTGCCTCGGAAACCCAAGGAGGGGTCGCTATGAGTCGGGGCGACTCGACAGCACATAACAACAACAACAACAGTGCTTAATCCAGTTTTCAGATAATTGATTATCTTGAAAGGGAATTTAAGTTATTAGAGTTGCAAGCTGAAGTTTTGGAAGCAGTGTCTCTCCCACACAAATGCTCGTTTTTTCTTTATGTGCATATGTGTGTGTGTTTCATACAAAACAACCTACATTGTTAGAGCAAGGTCAGCACTCAGGGTGATCATGTTTCCTCCAGTCAGTGCATTTATTATGAAGCATTTTGTCGCAGGTTCAAGAAATCACTGGTTTGAGGAGACAACATTCTTTTCTATAGTATCTTTAGCCCCATAATGACCACTAGCAAGTATTTGAGAATAGCTCTTTCACCAGTACGTTCATCACTGTGACTGCAAAAACAAAGTGGTATGTCTTCAGTTAAAATAACCAAATTTGTATTTCACTATAGAATTTGACAGGAGCTCTGGTAGTGTAGTGCCTAAGGCACTTGACTGCTAACCAGAAGGCTGGTGGTTCAAACCCACCAGGCACTCCATGGTAGGACAATGAGGCAATCTACTTTCATAAATATTTACCACCTTGGAAACCCAGTGGGGGTCGCTATGAGTCAGAATCAACTCTCTGGCAGTGGGTATAGAATAAGACAGAGATAAGTTTTGGAAATTCTTCTCAATCTTTTGGCAGTCCTCATTCAGCAAGTTTTCACAAGATTTTTTTCAATGCTCTTTTCCTTTTTTTATAGTTAAAGTGATATGTCATAGAAAACTCCCACAGCCTTCACAGATGTCTACTGATATGTTTGCTTAGTGTCTCTAAGCTTAGGAATTACCTAAAATTTTACTTTTCCAGGAAAGAAAAATCCTTCTAAGGTTATAAAAAAGGGATGCGGGTAATTTTTCCACTCACATGTTGTTCAAGTTGAGAGGTCAGCTTATCCCTTTAGGGAATATTTTTTCAGAAGAAGTTGATCCCTACCATTCATAACATACAAAAATACCATATAACTTCTGTAGTAGATTGAATTGTGAACCCCCCCAAAAGAGAGGTCCTATGCCCAGCCCCTGGTACCTGTGAATGTGAACTCATTGGAAATAGGGTCTTTGCAGATGTAATTAAATTAAGGATCTTGAGATGAGAGCACCCTGACTTTATTGTTGTTTGTTAGTCATTGTTATGTGCTGTCGCTTTGGCCCCCCAAATCCAATGACAGATGTCCTTATAAGAGAAAGGAGATGGAGATGCAAGACACAGAGAGACGTAGGAGAGAAGGCCGTGTGAAGACGAGGACAGGGATTGGAGTTGTGCTGCCACAAACCGAGGAAACTGAAACCACCAGAAGCTGGAAGAGGCAAGGAACATCTCCCCTAGAGCCTTCAGAGGGAGTGTGGCCCTGCTGAGACTTTTATTTCAAACTCCTGGCCTCTAGAACTGTGAGAGAATTAATTTCTATTGCTTCAGCCACCATGTTTGTGATAATTTGTTACAGCTGTTCTAGGAAACTATTTAAAATCTCCAGCTCAGCTTCTCGAAGAAGAAGAAGAAGAGAACTATTGAGAGCATTTAGTTATGAGGACAGAGCTATGAGCTCTGTCAGTGGAACTGGAATGGGTTGGCTCTGCTTCAAATCTCTGTTCATGCCTGAACCCTGATATGTAGAATTTTCTCTCATTTTCCTTATTTCCATAACCTAATGTCCATATTTATTAACTGGTGCCTGGATCAAGTTCTGAATTAGTTTTCTTGATATTCTTCTGGGTTTTGTAGCTTATAAAGTCAAGAGGAACTCAACAACAACCAAAAAAGAAAAAAAAAAAAAAAAAAGCTTAGTTAATAATGCCTTTTTTTGGCACTATATTGTAGTGACTTGCAGTGTAGTATATTACTTAGTGTGGCTTTTCTACCCATAAGTCTTTGTAA